ATTTATTAAATCAAATAATTTATCATCCATAAGTTATCACTATCATTATTTATATTTCTCTTGGGATTTAGATAACATTTCATTTCTTCAAATATACACATATTATTTACAAATTAATAATAATATTGTTTGTTAAAATCAAATAATTTGCAATTCACAAATAAATTTATTTGACTAAATTAATGGTTAAAAAATCAAATAATATTTCAAATATTAAATTTATTTGTTTTAATTAATATAAAAAAAAATTATTATTTTCAATTAATTGTATATCTAATATAGTTAAAAATATAATGTATGTTTGTATATAAACATTTTTATTTCTTATTTCAAATATTATTATTGATAATTATAAGTAAATTGATACAAGAATATTTTTGAGAATGCATCAATTTTTTTTAAATTTGCATTTTCATTTCAATATCATCCAATTTTAACGTATTCCATTATCTAGATTACGTCTTTTACTTATTGGGTAAAAGCGTAACAAAGAGAAAATTGTCACACCTGCTCACTGTAACAAATTCCTATCCAATCCGAGTGTAAATTTCACGAAAAAAATTGATTCTCTTAAAATTTAAGAGAAATCTTTTGGCAATTACAAATTCTCATGCAAATATCATATATTAATATTGATTTATAAAAATATTTACCATAGAATATATATGAATATTAATATGATTTGAATATTATACAAAATTTTAATTAAAATAAAAATCTAAAATTGGTATAATTTATATAATTGGTAAAATAAATTCAAAAATATAAGAATCTTATTTTAATCTCTTCTCCAAATAAATCGAATAATATTAAAAATATAAAAAAAAAATGCTTAAGACAAAGAGAGTTTGATCCTACTGTCATTCATTTGACCTTGAACCTAAAAAAATCAACAATTCAAATATCATATCAACAATACAAGTATCAATATCAACAAATCAAGAATCATCTCTTATCCAATTATACCTCCAATTATGGAACACTCTGTATATTTCCTAGTGCTTATTCAACATGTTTGCATGCATCACTTACCAGAAAGTAGTTTCAAGTATGTTTGATCATCTAGACGCAAATACGTGAGAAAAATATTCGTCGAATAATATTTGTCCAAGACGATAGATTTAATTAATCTTATCGGGATTCTTCAAGCTTGAAGGAAATTGTAAAAGAATTATCAGATACGTTGATATCACACGGACTATCTGTAAAGCAATATTCTTCTTCAATAATTAATCCTTTTTTGAATATATTGTTAAACAGTAAAATTAACTTTATATTCTATTCGAAATAAATTAAATCACAGTTAAATCATTATTGATTTAAATTATCTACGAAATGTTATCTCGAAATTAGATTATCAACGGATTCATTAGAAATTCGTTTCGATAATGAATGGGAAATGGAGGAACAATTTGTGATATCGTTTTCAAGATAATTTCGTGATGCAATTTACGATATTTTAACATTTGAAAGCTATAGTTATTAAGCTCAATTAATCTTGCGATTAATAGCGGACAAAGACGCGAAATTGGAATGACCGAGAAATAAATATGGATTTTCTTCGAGTTAGTTCGTGTGAGTAGAGTATCGTTTTCAATTAAGAGCTTATCTTTTTGTAGAAAATGAACTTACCGAGCAGAGCAATGACAATTTGATATCGAAAAGACCACCAGCGGAGAAACGAAGACGTCTGTTTAATAAGTATAACGAAGTACGAAAACTATTCTGTGTAAGGTATAATAATTAATATAATTTCTTATCACACGAAATAATATTATAGATACTTGCTTCGTATGGAAATTTTTGTATTGTTCTTGCATCCCATTCGATGAGAATGGCGCCCATAAAATTAGCCTGGAATTAAGGATTTTGCGATTAAAAATTTGTGGTGGATGAAAAAAAATATAGAAGAAATGGATATACGTAATATCTGTATACAATTAATTTATGTAATAATTTGCAATAATTTATTAATGCAATTAATTTATTTTAGATATTTATATTCATAAATAGAAGTTATGATAAAAGAATGAAATAAATATTTTAAATAAATTGACAGAATTTTTATAATTTTAAAAGATTTGATATTATTCGTATTAACTAAAAAAAAAATGAAATTAATGAAATTATAAATATGTTAAGCTTAAATAAATAAATATATATGTAAAAAATAAAGTAAATATTAGCAGAATATAAAATATTAAAATAATATTTGTATAAGTCACTTTGCCTATTTATTGCACGAATTAAAAATTTCATTATCAAAACCTATTCAAAAAATTAAAAAAACCATGCTATTGAAGTTATTTTTTGTTTCATTCTAATATCTCAATCCGTTGCGGAGATATAAGGATTTAAAGCATCTATAGTGTTTAAACAATGCAGAGTTTATGAATGGGCCTGTGAGACCCATGATCTAAATTTATTTCTTGGAAATGCATGCATATCTTCCAGGAATCTGCACTTGTCTGGAGGTTGGGATAGATCAGTGAGACGACGTGCGAGCGAGAGATCCGAGTGCACGATAAAGACGAAAATAAGAAATGACTAAAAATTATCTTTTCCTTTACACGATGATATCTCAAAAACCGGAAGTCGTATCGAGATAAATCAAGAAGCATTTTAAAGAGTAAGGTTTCACGTTTCTAATGATCTTTCGTTCATTGACCGAAAATCATTATCTTCGAAGTTACGATGATTTAAAATTTGCCTAATTTTAATAGAGTTCAATCGAGTTCTAAGGAAAATTATATGATAGATATATTTATTTACAGAAAAATAATTTGAAATGATTTATAATGATCTTATTAATAATATATTAAATTAATTTGAAAGTTATTCGTAAAATTATTATATTTAAATGAAATCAATATTACCTCGTTTATCGTATAATCGCAAGCGATATGAAGGGCTAAAAGTTGAGTTATAAATCCGATCAGCCAACACCACATGTTAATGATGAGAGGCCAAGCAATGTTGGTCCAGGGTGTCAAGATGACCCAATCGATGATGAAATACAAATTGCTGACACTGTGTATACTCAAATTTCCAAGCCAGAACAATAGTGACCACGAGTAAAGAGAACCTAGTGTCTCGCTAGATAGCATCAAATCGTTGTGTAAATCTTGGATTGTCTTGCTCGAATAAATAAGAAACATTTTTATTAGTTTTTTTTACAATATGATGGGATCAAGTTCAATTTGTCAAAAAATTTATTTTGTAAAATTCAAATGCTATTAACAGAGTATATATAATAATTTATTCAATATTTTGCAAAATATTAATTTTAATTTTTCAAAATTTATAAGTTATAATGACAATAACAAATGATGTTTCTAATTAAAAAAATTAAAAACTATTTTAAGAAACAGATTAAAATACAATTAAATTTAAAGAATAACTAAAAAAGAATTGAAGAAACTATGAAGAATTTTTAATTCTATTTTTGGATTATTTTGGACTATTAGAAAGTTTAAATCTTTTTCAGATTCGAATTTAAGTACAGTATGACTTCTTTTTTTCCAAATATCTATAAAATATTCTAAAAATTTAATCTATCCATGTTCAAATCTACTTGATCACTATTTGTAATATGTTAAACACAATTTAAATTAACTATATATAAATACGCTACCTTTTTGCTAATGTTGCTACTTTTATATCCAACTCTGGGTGGTAAATTCTCTTTCGCGATTTGATTGAGCTGATGGAAACGGAGGCCGAGAATGCTTGCCATTCCGAAAAATTTGTACACAGCTGTCGCACTACCGATATAAATACACATGTAACTCACGTTAAACGTCCACGTCTCTTCGAAAGCAAACATCCCACTCTGATTAACAGCCGTCCAAATAACGATCTGACTCGCCAAAAGTATCCAAGTCGCGATCTTGATCTTGGTCTCTTCTCGTGGATAGCCTAATTGACTGAGCCTCTCGTCGAAATCTTGTTGAGCGTTCCAAATTCGGCTGAACGTTTTCCTCGTGAATATCGTGGAAATTAGATCGTACATAGCCACGAGGTAATTGACGGTTACCTGCGGTAACGTTAACATTGTGGAAACCATAAATTGCCCTATCTCGGCCGTAAGATTGCGCGAAATGTGAGAATTACCTTGGTCGTTTCCACCACGCTGAGAATCGCTTTGTCCCTCCTTACGTTGAGGAATCTTCTGTACACGATGTACATGATGCGGCAATAAATACCAATAAAGGCGAACGAGAACAAGAGGCAGACGTTCGAGGGCGTTATCTCGTCACCCGTGAAATCGTAGGGCGCCAAACCGAACACTTTCATTATGCACACAACGGGGTAAATCGCCGAATACAAGAGAGAGTCGGGGCCGTGATATTTTCTTTTCTGCTCTTTTCTCGCTAGAGTTACTTCCGCGAAAGTAGTTTCAACGTCGAATGGTTTCAACCGTGGCTTTGTTAATGGAAGAACTTTTTTCGCCGGGTAACGCGCCAATTCTTTTCGGATGGATTTCATCATTTTTTATTAATAAATCGTACCACGGAAATATTCATCTGTAAAAGAAAAAAAAGGGGAAAAATCGAGATAAGTTTCAGGAGAAAATTTTAGAGAAAATGTTGTTCTGAGAGTATGTACGTACTTTTTATTGTTTGTATGTGGTTGGAACGAAATTTTTTGAGTGGATAATAAAAATGGACAGAGAAGAATTGGATTTTGGAATAAATAAAATTTTAAAACATTGTGTTTTTTGTGTTCTGAACTTTTACATAAATTTTATCAACTAATAATTAGAAAATTAATGAATTAGAAAATTAATGAATTAGAAAATTAAATTAATTATTTAAAATAATTATTTTTTTATAATTATATATCAAATAAAATAATCAAATGATTGAAAAAATTTGATTCTTACGATATTATAAGTCTCTCCATTATTTTGTAAATAAGTCAAAGTTTTGAAAAGTTAGAATTTTAACATTAGAAGACTTTCTGTAAAATTTTATAACTGATAAAATACCACAATGTGAAGTATAAGTATGCACGATCAATCTCGACCATTCTGAAAATAATAAAAGTATAAATAGCAAAAAAAAGGAAAAATAATAATTTAATACATGTATCAATTACTTACAGATTGAAATCCATAAATTAAAAATATCTTTTAGCAACATAAGACGAGGAAATAAATCGTCATAATTCATAATTTATAAATATAATTATTCGTATTATTCGTGAAAAATTCAGTGGAAAATCATTTGAATTACCTGGTAATTCAACAAAGTCAACTCTTCAGAATTTAACTATTCTTTAATGAGGATCCAGTTAAACTTTGAAGAGGAATTGCGATGCACGATCATTCTCAGTGTCCCGATAAATGGTCGAACGTTTCCGAGCAACCGTATAAATAACAGGGAAAACAGAGTTTCCCATCGGCCGTGATAAAGCAAGAATTAATGCCGTTTGTCCAAACAGTCATATATGAAGGTAGATTTGCAGCTGACTGTACGATCAGGAAGCGTCCTCCTTCCAATCATCGTTGAATTATGAATAATTGAACGGCTAAAGTAGAATAACAAAACGCTTAAGCGGATTTACCTTCTTATCGAACAATACTGATGCATTTGTTACCTATTTTTTTTTTCAGGAAATTCCTGTAAATCACGAGCTTTTATTGATTTCTCGTTCATATAATGGCTATTAGAGTATGATGGATCACCAATTTAGTTGGACAAAAATCTATTTTCATGATTATTGTGACGAGTTATTATAAAAAATTATAAAAAATATATTATAAAAAATTTAATACGAAGGAAAATGTTTAAATTTATTAATTCCTTGAATATAATGCTTCATCAATGATGAAATGTGTTCCATAATGGCACAAATTTTTTAACGACATTTATATCATTTACTTTACTTAACTTTGTTTATATTTATTTTATTTTATTTTTATTATATTAATAATATTTTGATTTAATATATTTAAGAATTTTAAAAATATAAATATTATTTTCTATCTAATGATTTTGATCTATAATGTATATATATGTATTTGACATAAATATTTGAAAAGGATTAAATGAAACTTATGATCATATTCGTTCAAAGTTGTTAGCTCCACGAATTTGTGATATTCATTTCCGTCAAATCTTCATATTTTCAAATGTTGTTAGCTCAATCTAGAAAATATTATTTTTTTAATAATTCAATATGAAATATTTGAATTTTTTCAACATGTCAAGCTTTGAGAGTTCATATCTTGATAATAACTTATATTAAAAGATATATGTAATAAAAAATATATATTTTAATTTAAAAATTCGACGTTAATTTTTGCAAGTTCAAGATTATCACAAAATCAAATAAATAACAATAATATATAATATCTATCTTTTCTAATATCATATTTTTTTAAAAATATGAAATATTTTTTCAGATCTTCCATAGTTTTGGAAGAGTAAAAGAAAAACACTTTCTACATACAGTTATATATACCGGATAGTTTATCCAACTTTTTTGAAACAGATTAAAATAATATATCTTGTATACAGAATTATATTAGATATACAAAATAATTGTACAATGATTCATTTAATTTTGTTTAGAATATATATTTATTCTTAATAATATTAAAAGATATTAAAGATATTAAAGATTAGATAAAAATAATCTTAACATCATATAAACATCATATAAATATGATTATTTATTTCTAAATGAAATTATATAGTTTTTAATACATTAATAAATGTAAATCATTATTTTCTATTTAAAAAAATATTAAGTTTTTTATGTCGAAAAATAATTAATTTAAAACATATTTTAACTTGAATTTTATAAAACTTAATATAATAAAACGAAAAACAAGAAAAATATGAATTGATGAGCATCGCTTCGCATTTTTCTTATTTTTTATATAATAAATTTTATAAAATCCAAGATATCTTTCAAACTAATGATTTTTCGATATAAATATTTCATAAAAATATTTCATAAATATTAAAAATTCTTAAAAAACATTTTTACATGATTTTTACATAATTTCTATATCTACTTATAAAAAAATTAATTGTATTAAAATATTTTTTCCTCGAAAACATTCAAATTTTATTGACATTTTTTTAATATTATCAAAAACAAACAAGCTATTCCAAATAATAAATAAAAATTAAATGGATCACTTTATATATTATTTTTATAAAAAAAAATATATTAATTTCATGTAAGAATATTAACATTATTCTTATTTAACTAAATTTAAAATTAAAATTATTTAAATTAAATAATTTAATATTAAATGATAAATATAATCTAATTCTTCATTTCAAATTTTATTCAACTGGATTAGCAATCTATCACATTGTGGGCCGAGAAATGATAATGCAACATCACTTGCGTCATCGCATTGAAATCCAAAATATAACCTAAACGACACGCGTCTGTATACAATTCTAAACAATTAACTGTGCATTTGTGAATATCCTCTGTCGTTTATTTCATGCTATGAAAAAACAATCGTTTGTTATGAAAATATTTATTAATGAGTTAACGACTTTATTTATTTTTTGTTACCTTATCGCTTCTGATCGAGTTAAAAATGCAACAATCAAATCAATTTATGAAGAATTCACTTTTCGTCAAAATCTATCGTATTCTGATTCATTTTGAGCAATGATGTTCGATCATTAGTGGAATCTGTCCTGTCCGAATGTTGCTAATGGCGTGAGAATACGAAATCCATTAATCAGATTTTCTCCATCGGCTGATGCTTTCACAGGTATTGTAACGTGTCTGCCTATTTCTCTAATCGCATTATCTTATGAGTTAGCTATGTGTGAAATAGATTTTGACTTTAAATATAACAAATTCGCTTAAAATTATTTTGTTCGCTGATAAAAGCGCAGGCGTATCTAAATTATAACGATAAGTCGCATTCGACTCTTTAAGGATATAATCGATCGCGAAAAGCAGAGCAGAAGGTAAAGAAGAAATGTCGAGAATGATAAAGAATAAAAAAATATGAGAAAGCGGAGTATTAGATGAAAATTTACGATGTAAAGTGTCTCGTCAGGACGACGCCCCGGAGAAATGCAATTTAACTCGGTGTGCAAGATGAATGATATTCATCGAGCGGTCAATGCACAAGCTTGACTGTGCATATCCAGGAAAATAAAAGCTCTTTGTATCCCATTTTCCTGCTTTCACATGAAGCTATGAGCTAAATTTTTTGCATAAATATCACATTTTGATCATTCGTCATTGGAACACTGACTTTGATAAATATTTAAAATGGGAATCACTTCACTGATTTTGATTGGTTTTGAAAACAAGATTTTATTTTATCTAATGCAAATTTAAATTACTTATATATTATTACCATTATATGTTACTACCATTTGATTCTAATTTTCGAATATTCAGCAAAAATATTTTTAATATTACATACATTAACATAAAAGTTTCAAATATAGTTTCAAATAAATAAATCTTAAACTCAATAACAAATCTAAATTCAAACTCTAAAAAAATATACATGAGAAGGAATAAGAACAAAAAATTAAATTTTTTTAAAAAAATTCTTATAAGAATTCGAATAAATTGTTCATATTTCGATCTTTATAATGATTGCCAAACTCATTCTCATCCATCTTTTTTTCCAATTTTTTAAATTTTATAAATTTTTCCAATTTTATCCAATTTTTTAAATTTTATAATTTATTATAAATATATAATTATTATAATTTATTTAATCCATTAATCCAAGAATCAATCAATAAAACAATGCAATTTTTATAAATATTATTATTTATTACTTACCAAAATACGTAGGAATAAATATAATATGAATAAAATTTTTTCATATAAATTTGTTATAATAAAATTTACATGATTTTTAAAATGTTTCTAGTGTATCACTTTTTGATATAAATAATACTATAGAAGAATAATACATAATATATAAATTCTCATTCCAAATTATTATTCTTCAACAAATTAATTTTCTTCACCGAAACTGTAATCCTTGCTGATTTTGTAAAATAACAACTTTTTTTTGAAGAAAATTACGCGAGAAATAAAAAATAACAATTAAAAACGATGCTTTAAGTTTCCAATTGGTGGACTACTCTGAAAATAGTTCCAAGTAATCGCATAATCGAGAAACGATATCCGTTCGATAATCGAAAATTACCAGTGAATCCAGCAACTATGTCCAATTAAGAAATAACGTTACTCTTCTTATGTAAAATCATTAATTATCATTGATATTTTAAAATGATGTCACGAACAAAATAAGCTCGAAAATGACTATGAAGAGAATAAAAGAGAAATTATTCGAATGGGCTTGTAGAGAACATGCAATGAATAATTCTTTCGACAAGCTTCTACTACGAGAAAAGGCTCTCGAACTGACAAAAAAATATGGTGTCAATGGTAGTTTATTTTCTTGATAATATTTTATTTTATGTATAAAAAATTGATAATTGATTCATATATATAAGAGATAAAATTTTCATTTTATAAATATAATAATTTGGAAACTATTATGTTTACTATTATGTATTTACGTTTACGATCAAAATTCTTACATAATAATTTTATATATTTATTTAAGATTATTGAATAATAATTGTTATAATAATCAAGAATCAAAATCAGGTAAAACTATACAGAAATAGAATATAATAATAAGTGACTTCTATAACAATGTGTATTAACCTAAACATTTTACTTTACTATACGATAAAGTTATACGTGAAGTTATACGTATGGTATTTTTGACTATTGGTACCACATTCTAGTATTAATTACTATTAGTAATTTTTATTCAAAGTTATAACTAATTACTCTTCGAATAATCTAAAAATTGCAATTAGATATATTTAACGATTAATGATTTGAATGATAAATAGTTTATTTAAAATTTTAGTTGATAAATTTTCAATTATGCTTTTGATACATAGATATATATTTTAATTATGATTTTTTATGAAATTTTTTTATTTATAAAAATTGCATTCATATATAATAATATATATTGAATTGTTTGTCATGTTTATTTTGATTTATTATTAATTATTAATTATTTATTTTGAATTGTTTTCATTCCTATTACTTTTGATCTCACTATATATATGTAAATATAGCTAAATTGAAAAATTATTTTATATTCAATATTTATTATATATATATATATGATATAATATAATGATAATGTATAATGATATATTCGTGAAACGAATATCTTTATCTTTAGAGGATAAATTCTAAACAAATACAAAAATTAGTATACAAAAGTCTTAATTGTTAAATTATAAGCAATTTAAATTTGCATTAAATGAAATGAGACAAAAAAAAATTATTTCATTTTATTTCTA